CGAAGTTTAATAATTGTTGTACATGATTATGAAATCTAGATAACGGTCTAGGTGGATTGCACTCATGAAGAGCTTTCGACTGAGATATTACCCTAATTTCACGCGTACAAGGCGCATTTTTTTCGATTTTTCAATTCAGTCCCTCAGCCGCTTCACTGTGTTTTGCAAAGCGATCCTTATGCCGTACGATTCTCTCAAGCAATATACAGCACCGCATAAGGTTCTTTGGTTGCAAAGTCCTTTGGCATGCTTGGGCTGGTCGATTTTGGAAAAAAATCCCCCGCGCCTTGTACGCGTGAAATTAGGGTACATGTTGGCCTGGAACGACGTCGCTATGGAATCATCACTTTGCTAAAATATAAAAAATCAGGTTTTTCAGAATTATGTAACTCTTGTAAATAATACTGTATCTCGATGGGAAGGGTGTTTGTGGATTGCACTCATCAAGAGCTTTCGAGTGATGTGTAGTATGCTGGCCTGAAACGACGTCGCTATGGAATCATCAGTCTGCTGAAATGTAAAAAATCAGAATGAATCAAGGTTTTCAAAACTAAATAACTCTTGTATATGATATTGTGTCTCGATGGAAAGGGTGTCTGTGGAATACTGCTACTACTGTCTAATACTGTCTGCTCCGCCTCTCTCACTTTATATCATTATCTCGCCCCTTGGGGGTGAGCATTTCGGCCAAATATGCTCACCCCCCGTTCCCGAAGTCCAGAAGCATGAACCCCCCCCCCACATATTATATACCAGTCGAGAGCTCTTGAGGAGTAGAGCTTGCCCATGCCCTTCCCTTCTTATTTCATTCACTTATACAAAAGTTATTTTTAAAAAATCGATTTTTAGCACCGTGATTTTTCGTCTTTTTGAGGCACGATTTTTCTGTAAAGAACTCCACTCAGGCCAACTTGTTTTACACCGTTCGAAAGCTTATAATGATTCTATTCCACAACAATATCATATACAAGAGTTATTTGATTTTGAAAACCTTGATTCATCCTGATTTTTTACATTTCAGCAGACTGATGATTCCATAGCGACGTCGTTCCAGGCCAGCATACTACACATCAATCGAAAGCTCTTGATGAGTGCAATCCACAAACACCCTTTTCATCGAGATACAGTATTATTTACAAGAGTTACATAATTCTGAAAAACCTGATTTTTTTATTTTAGCAAAGTGATGATTCCATAGCGACGTCGTTCCAGGCCAACATATAATATCTCAGTCGAAAGCTCTTCATGAGTGCAATCCACCTAGGCCGTTCTCTAGATTTCATACTCATGTACAACAATTATTACACTTCGAAATTCCTAATTTTTGTTTTTTGCAACCTAATACCTTGACAAAAAAATCACTTCAGGATCCATTTTTTCTGCATCCTATGGAAAGCTCAGTTAAAGATTGCTTTAACTCAAACTACATTAATCTCATTACTAACAATTATAATGCTTGAAACGACACAATTAAACTTTTAATTCGTTTACTGCACTCCATATACCGCAATAAATTTATTTGCGACAATATAATCATAGCAAAATTTACGGGTGTAAGTGCCAAATAAGCTGTCCATCACCTGAAAAAAAGCTGTTATGTACCAAGTAAATCGAAAATCCAAAAATTTTTTGAAAAAATAAAAATAAAAAAATAAAAAGTGAAATATACAATACTTATAAATTACAAAACTATATGAAAAATAAACTAAAATACAATATATCCTTGCTATAATATAATATATACAAAATAAAAAAATACAAAAATTAAATTATGCAATCTAGAAATTATATATACAAAATTCTATTAATTACAAAAATTATTAAAAAAATTTTTTGGAATAAAATCTACCCCCCCCCCCGTCGACGTCGGAACATTTCGGGATAGGACCCCCTAATGACTCTAAACCCTGTGTAAAGTCTCAACCGTAATCCTACAGTAACAAAGAGCGATCAGTGATCCGCACAATGCTGCAAATCTGAGTTGAAGTCAGCTCTACGAAATAATGCTTAGACGTAGGCAAAAGACTTCTTGGAAAAAGAGACATCAACGATCAAACAGTGTTAACATACTTTTGGGACACCGTGTAATCCATCAGTTGCTTGCATTGTGCCGTACTGCTGTGATGTTGTTGCATTTGGCAACATAGCTCTACCGAGAACGCTTTTATATGTTTCGAAAGTGACCTGCAGACTGCACCAAAAAGTTGACTGAATATGTAACGCTATATATTCTACACAGAGACGTGGGTGTGTCGTGTCGTTTGGTATTGGGGCGATAAACAAGAAGCAATGTACTAATAGACTTTTCTGAGAAATACTACTATTTTACTCAGCTTCACTCGCTGCTGCTTATGTTGCTTGTTGATGTTTTCCAAGAGTTTACGGCATATTTCGTCATTTAAGATGTCCTAGACATCATTAAGTGCTCAACTACGGCAGATATAAGTATCTTACCTCCTGCTTTTCCTTTATACTTGTACTTGCATTCTCTTGAACATTTCCTATTTCCTACTTTCTTTCCCCTAAAAATTCTGTTTTGGTCTATAAGTGTTTAGAAGGCGATGCTTCAATATTTACACTAATCTAAAAAGGCAGTTGTTATGACGGTGAATCGGGCGTACTTTCAAGAGAAGTCACTTGCTTGCAAACCAAAATAGCACACATTTCGATGGTTTTCCTAAGAAATTTTCAAAGCCAACGGTAAGGACATACAGCGGAACTACTTTCTTTTGCTTCGTTTGCACGTATGAGACTCAGAATGAAACATGCCTTGCTGTTTATTGACAGTCGAATAAGCAAAGTGATTATGGCTGATGTGATCTTGTTTCTCATGCGAGTGCTGAAAATATGTTGAAGTTGCCGCCCTCAGGGTGGCATGAGTAGAGCACTGCCACCCTAATTTCGAAAAAGGGTGGGTACGGTCTTCATTCACATAATTTTCACATATACTATATTAGGTCGTTTCATAAGTTCGTAAAGTTTTTATTCTTGTCGCCGTTTCAAAACGAAGCATTTGTTAATGGCAAAGTACCTGTACTATTAAAAAGAGAAAATCTTGCTCTACAAGAACTGTTGTTCATTTTCGGAGCAAACCTGAATCCCCTTTCTTGACGAATTCTCAAAGCAAGATTTTTTGAGGGGCAAAAATTGGCGATTTCGGCACCTGCAACATTCGGTCCATATACGGAGTCACAAGCTGGATTTTTCATCTTAAGTTGTTATAAGTGATGAAAAACAACTTTTTGTGGGATTACGGTGCATATAAAAGTAGTTTTTTTACCTAAAGAGATGCTATAAAGAAGGATTAAGCGCATTTTTACCATGTGTGTAGATGTTTTGCGTTTGGTACAATTTGAAGAAGTCCCCACTCCAAAAAATCCTGAGAAAGCGTAAAATGTTGGCCAGAGCTTTTACTCATACATCTACACCATTAAGAAGAACCCATCCATTCCTAAAGGCCCGATAGGAGGACCGACACATACTGTCGCCAAACAACGCGCAGAACTCAGACAGCAGCAGTCAAAGACAACAACTTTGGGACCTTGTTCAAACGGTTCTAAGCATACTAGCATGCTGCAAATTTGTCAGTATACCATCTTGCTTGCTACTATCCATTCCGCCTACATATGACAATAAGATTTTGCGGGATACGAACCAAATGCGGAAAGTGCAGTTGCCGAAATCACCAATTTTTGCCTCTCAAAAAACTTTGCTTTTTTGAGAGGTTATAAATCAGAGGCATTTATATTTGCTCTGAAAACGACAAGGCTCTTTTCCTCACTTTCCCCATGAACTTTAACTGGAAATTATAATATTAAATTCAATAATTTTCGATATTTTTGAGTTTGCCTTGAGTTCAACAGACATAACAATGAATAGTAGTAATGCATCAGATTGTTATAATAAAAATGCATATATAACTTGATCTGCAAACAAAGAAGGTTGATGGTGCTTTGAAGAGACGGTAATTTGTCTAAAATAATGTGAAATATACCGTAATTTGTTTAAGATACCGTGATATTTGAATGCAGCATAGTACCTATACCGTTCGATAGAGCAGGAATTGCTCTTTCGAACGGTATAGGTACTTTGACGTAAAACAACCGCTTTATCGAGAAATGGCTACAAAAATAAAAGCTCTACGGACTTATGAAACGACCAATAGTTTCAAACTTTGTTTTTATTCCACACTAATTATAAACGCACCAAGTTTAAAGTCATCCGTTATTTGTGCGTTGCAAACGAATCATTGTTTGATTTTTTGCTAGTGAAAATTTTGAAGAATGTTGTCGCAACCTTCAGTCACACAAGTTTTTCATACTTTGCGCTATGCTCCTTATAGCCATTGTCCGCTTAGGCACCAAGTTCGATGGTTCGATGCCGTATCGTTATGCGTGCGAGGTACCAGATCGACTATCACTTAATGGTAAAAAATTCGATTCTAAAATGACGCAGGAACAAGATCGTGTCTCGCAGTCAGGCGTGCAGCAACCTGTTGAGTATGTACATATAGATGCTTCCTTTGCTTTCATCTAAAACGATTTTTTGATCGAAGTTCGCCACCCCCACGTCCTGTACTTTGTCATGATGTTAGAGGCACTATCCGGGCAAGAAGTCGATTCTGAGATTTTTTTGCTTACCTGGCCTATTCGCTACGCTGAATCCGAAAATTTCCACTGATGAGCACGAAAACGGCGAAAAAGGGCTTTACCGCAGAAGGGAAATTGGCAGGAGAGCGGGGTCCCACTTTGTAAAGTCACTCTCCCAGCTTCGGGAGCGATTTCTCGCTTCTGATTTCAAGTCACGCGTTTTCGCTTGCAGGTGGCTATGTTAGAGCGGGTAGCGGAAACGAGAAGATCGTTCGCGAAGCTGGGAGTGTGACTTCACAGAGTGGAAGGCTTCGCCCACCTGTTGATTTCCCCGATACGTTAGAGCCCATTTTTCGCCGTATTCGCGCTCACCAATGTATTTCGGATTCAGTATAGCGAATAGGCCCAGGTGAGCACAAAATCATAAAATCAACTTCTTGTCCGGAAACTGCCTTCAAAGTGGTTATCATTTGCTCATCATCAGCATCAATCGCATTCCTTAATTCATACATGTTGAAACCGTTTAATTGTATTTAGGAGAGGAATTCGCATTTCTCAACAGATCGGAACTATTGAAATTGACCAGATGGAAAAATGCGCTTTGATGAGCGAGACAGACAGTGACAAAACAAAACACTGGGTTATGCACAGAACATTTGATAGAATCGAGGCACATTCGGTCGTCGCGTGGGAGTGATGGTGCAGGCTTGCTTTCTTGTTACTGATTGCGTGGGGAGAGAGGGCACATGTGTGTAAATGAGAAAAAGTATGTGTATTTTGGCAGACTTAGCCACAAGAACGGCTTGAAACATTCACAGACGATCGAGGGATACCTGGAATGTGCAATTCGGAAAATGACGGGGAACTTGCAGAGACTTTGCTACATGATTTCAGCCTACCTCAGCTTCTTCGGGATATTCAAGTTCCCAGATTCTTTTTAGATGTTTCCCCTTGACATCACGAGGAGCACCGAACGATGTCATTTTCTGAAGAAGAATGGTGATTGCAATTATGAATATCTGCTACAGCAGGATCGCATTCGTAAGTATCTGCTACAGCGCCTACCTTCTGAGAGTCTCCTTTGTTCCAACCAGCTTGGCTGGGAATAATTGTCTCAGAAATCTTCATGGCCTCGTATGGAAGCTCACCACCTTCGGCCTCATAGGTAGTATTTCTTACCGTGCCGAATCCAGTCATACCCTGATACACATGAATATGCTTTGAAGGGAAACACAAAAGCTAAACTTTGCATATTCACCTGCTGCGAAGCAAATCTGTTGGTACCAGACTGCAGACGCACCATACCTTGAGACTTGCGGTTTTGCCACGAGATTGAAGGGTCGAGCACCTGTTATAGAAAGTCACACATTATCTAAACTGATTTGTCTTGATTAGCTTACCTCCCAACGTGGCTGTCCAAAACCAGTCATACCCTTCTGTGAAGCGTACTTGTTCGATCCCATTTGGCTGGGGATAGTCGTCTGATCGATTGAGGCTTCGTGGTCGTATTCGGGATGATTGCTATCAACCATTTTTGTCGTTTCACGACGAGATGTACCAAATCCAGTCATTCCCTAAAATCAGGTAATGGACTACATTCAGTTCCGAATCCACAATAGAACTTTGCACCTTCTGCGACGCAAATTTATTTGTACCCGACTGAAGAGGAATTTCAGACTGGTCTGGTCGCTCATGATCGTATTCTGGATGCTTAGTATCTAGCATCTTTGTCGTTTCACGACGATTAGTACCAAAGCCGGTCATACCCTACAATACTTTGATTCAATGAATAGTTACGGTATTGAGTTAGAGTGATTTACCCTCTGCGAATCATATTTGTTAGTACCAGCTTGTAGACGTACAATACCATCAGAAAGACGTATCTTCTCCTCGGGAAGCTCCTAAATAAGAAATCATCAAATTTTTTCTGCTTCTCAATCGTTTTGTACAATTAGCGCTATTCATCATTGCTTCTGCTCTCAGCTCTTCAAATATTTGCAAAGGGTAATGTAGCGCAGTACTAACGTCTTGTTCAGTTCATCGAAAACACAAAGTGACTAATTAGCTTGCAAGACCGGAACTTCCGTAGTATTGGCTTTTTTTTTTCAAGATGCATTCTTTGCGAGGGATTATCTTGTGCACAAACATGTTCAAACGTTCCAATCCTATGTTTCAGAGTGTGTCACTTTGAGCTATGAGCAACAGAGTATTGTGGTGTGGATCACGCAGAAACGACATTCATAGAACATTAAGAGGAAATTTCATCCCTGGAATTCTCATCTCCGGCTTTGTTGGACAATCGCTAGATCGAGAGATCTGCTCAGCGCCAGAATACTGCTTTAATTGAAGCGCGATGCACAGAAGATATTACACAGTGATAACTCTAGAAACAACCGGCAGCCGAGAACAACGGACGCTATCTACTTGATCTTTCATCTTCGCACTTCAAGCACATCGCGCTCAGCTAACCACTAGCAAAACTTATCCGAAATGACTGGAAGCTTTGAGTTACAGTGGTGGGGATACACCAGGTCTTTACATGAATTTTGTAGCACTTTCTTTATCTTTATCTGAGAACTTTGATTTCCCAACTCTTTTTCAACTTGTTGAACTTTTTATAGACATTCGAGAGCGTCACTGGCAATACGAAGACAGCTCAATTTTGAGCACTCCAGTAATGCAAGTTGGAAGTCTACCAAAAATAACTCGGAAATTTTTTGAAAATCTAAGAACTGATTTTTTTATGTGCACATGTATCGATCGAATATTCGCTACTCACATGGATTGAGAAGGATGAGAGGGAAAAACTTTTGAGGAAACGAAGATTTTTGCTGTTGATTGTAGCAAAACTTATATAACGATCTAATGATTACGCCACGCACTTGTTAATTCATAGCCTCCTTACACTCGCCTACAGCTGCGGCTACATTTGAGATAATCCGAATGAAAACCGGAGACAACCATTCACATGCAACATCGCAAAAGTATCTGGATCTTGTTGCCTTTTTGCTAGTTGAAACTTGAGTCACCATCAGGAAGTCCAACGAACATGCAAAAATAAATGTGATTTATGGTTCCGTATGGGACTGAGACGGATCGACCGAACCAAGAAAGCTTTCTAATTACATTGCTCCCAAATCAAACAAGACGGTATTAAACAATGAAATTTGGTTGATACTGAACAATGCTGTGGCTAGTGAATTCCAGGCTTTTGTTGCAGTTTTTTTATTACAAAGTTTAGATTATCCGGAAATCAATGCGGATTCCTTACGCGATCGCGGCAGTGTAATTATAAAAATGTAGAAGACGTATAATTCGATAGAGCAAAGCAACTCTAAAGGCTGCATTAGAACGACAGCAAAAATTGTTCCATTCGAAGTTTGAAAGCAAAGTAAAAAAACTCAGTTACCCAAACATCAGGTTTCTGTCCAAAACATTCTGCGGACTTCCATCTGTCAGATTTGCACTGTCCACAACAAACATTCATATGTACAATTGCGAAATTTCCACGATTAGGAACTAGGAAAATAAAAGTTGGCATGCCCAAGCAAATGCAATGCTGAGCCATTTTAACATAGGTAGTTCTGTACTACATCGAAGTAAAACCATAGATTTTCAGCTATCTCCAAGGGTTAGCTTCCGAGAAGTATTGATTATAGCATAAAAAGCCCGAAAAAGGCGATATTTCTGATTTTTTGGATTTTTGAAGTTTTGGATTTGGTTTCAAACTGCACGTAGATCAAACCTTGTGCGTTCGTTCTAATGCACTTTTGTAGGAGTCTGTTCACGAATGATATGATATGCCCCACATCTCCATATTCATTGCTGCGGTCGCGTACGCAACCTGCATTAATTTCCGGACAACCTAATACAAACGAAGAGATGTCGATACAACATAGTCTTGAGATTATCTTGTTTTTCTGTTGCCACGAAATTCGAGAGAACCTTCTCCTTGCTAATCTTTGCATTTAACTTTGAAAGTTATACAAAGCAAGTTACCTTTGAAGCATGGTCGGCTCTTTTGTCAGTATTTAGTGAGATAAATTTTTGCCACCATCAAAGTATTGATTAAAAAATCTCAACGATGGTAAATTGCATGGCTTGTGTTTGTAGCTAGTGTTAAATTATCTACGGACTTACCGACAAATCGGATGGATTGGTGTTCACGTGTTTACCCTCTCGGCATACATCACGTCCAGTACCAAAACCAGTCATACCGCGTTGCGAACTGAATTTGTTTGTACCGGACTGCAGACGTACCTCACCGTGTGTTCGCTGGGCAATTTCTTCGGGAATTTCCTAGAAACTATGAATGCGGTAAAGCATTTGAATAATATTTTCTTTGAATACGCGTATTTCCGTGATAACTTTACAAATTATATGCTAGAACAGAAATATTTTTCTACAACCCTCACTCGGATGCAACAAATGATAGAATAGTGGGGGGCTACCCATCTTGTTTTTGCATGAAATAATAACTTGATTTTTCAGAATTTCTTGTACGTTGAAGGTTCGAATTTTTGCAGAGGAGCTCCTCCAAAAAACGTCAGATTTGTAGCAAAACCTGAGCATCGAATAAAAGCCGAACTCGAGCAACCCCGACAATTTTTGCAAAAGATCAGCACCCATAGGCGGCTTTGCGCTGCTTATGGGTGCTGATCTTTTGCAAAAAGATCAGCAGATTCAGGTCTGCTGTTATAGGGGGAAGCAAATGAATTCAGAAAGTTTGTTCACTGATTCAGATAGATTAATTCATCCTAGATTGTAGTCGAAACACTGTAAGAACATGGCCTGTACTTTAATTTGCTCAGGCACTCATTGGCTGATCACCTGCAGATTTTCGGCTTTGACACGGGTGGATGTGTTTCGTGGCGTACCAAAGTTGGTCATAAGTTTCTGCGAATCTCCCTTGTTCCATCCTGCTTGGCTTGGTATTATACCTGGAATTACTCATATGATTGTGAAATATCTTTCCAAAAAAATGATCTTTCGAAGATTTGCATTTTGGTCGTCAGAGGAAATCTTGACAAGGCGTTTTGGTTTCTGTCACCCTTCAAAAACGAGGAAAAACGGGCAACCTCTGGAATGTTTACATTGTCATCGTGTTGGAAAGCGGAAGAGCTCTCGGAAGCAAAGAGCGATAGGTTCATGTTGTCTTATATTATTAGGTTGCTAACTAAGTTTTGCAACTACTTTTAAAATTCCTCTCTCTTTGCATATGACTTACTCAAATTTTCCCATCATATAGTGACGTAAGCTACAAGCGCAGTCACAGTTCTGCAAAATTCTGACGTTGCAGTGAGGGTTACGGTAGGTCTATGGTATACGGGGAATATTATTATGGTGATCACTAAAAAATGGGGCAGCTTGATTTTTGTCAAATTTTGAGATTTTTTGTTTCGATCAACAACAAGCAGGCTGCAACGTAAACGTCGCTTATATAAGCGACCTTCGCCTATTATTCTGGCAAAACGTCAACGCTCCTCTCCCACAACCCTACGCGTGGCGCCCTGAAGAACTCGAACAGGGTTTTTTGAACCTCGCTCATTCTTCCGCTGCCATACCGCAAAGTTATAGAGCAATTGATATATTATTCGAAAGAGCTGTTCATGCTCTTTCAAATAGTTTATGAAACATACAGAACTTCTTTCTATTTCTGGGTAAAAAAGCGAAATACCTGGAAAATCGCGATTTTTTGGCGCAACAAAAACCAGTAAATCAAGTTTCAATCCGTATTTTCCGAAGATAAATAAAATTTGAGGTAAACTGCATATGAATGGATAAAGCGTAAAAAGCTCTTTGACATGGTACCTATAGAACATGCGTTCATCTGCAAAGAATTGAATAACGCGTGTCTTTGTTCTCGAAGCTGCTATGGCCATATCTCCTGACTTTGAAAGTTGAGGCCATCAAGCTGTCGTGGGTTTAGTGACTGTCCCACCACCCACTCCAGCAGTGATACTTTGGGTGGTCTCACATGTTTCACTGCGCAGATACTGCCCAAAGTTTATAATTTGTCAAAGGTGACTAACTTTGCATTTCAGCCACTATAAAAATTATTAGTTATGTAAATGACCTTATATAGGTATTTTCTGAAAGAGAATAATCTATTCTAACATCTATCAAAATTGGGAAGTTTAATCACTTTTCTTTTTTGAGAAATCTACATTTATTCTCTAAGTGTCTCATTTTTTAGTGATCACCCTAATATAAATTATCACAAATTTGGCTGAAACTTTGCGTAGATGGGTTATCTGACTTGCTGATCATAAAAACGATATTGGTTTTGCAGAGTAGAGGCTTTTTTGTAAGGTTGCGATAGGTTTACGGTACGGGGTCTCACGCTAAACAAGAAAAGAGGCGTTAATTTGACTAACAGGTATGACATTCGTATTCGGCTGGGCAAATAACCCCACCGTGCAAAGTTCGGCGAGAATTCTGAGACTTCGAGTCCTTAGTGACTGACATTTGTCCTCAAGGAGCTTTGCGTAAGCGGCTTGTTCAATTTTGTGGGGCGAGTTACCTTCGAATTCCACTTCTTCCTTACTGTGCTAGATAGTAAATCTCCAGCAACAATTTGTGCACACTTTCGGATTGTTGTGCATAATTCAGGTTAAAAATGCTTTCATTTTAACTCAAAACTCCATGAATCCTCGAATTTTATCAATTTTCGAGAAACTCGAATTTCTTCTATTTTGTTATTGAAAAGCAAGCGGTTTGTGCCAGTTTAGACACGGCAATGTACACAATATCAGAATTTGAGCGCGCCAATATTAAAAAGCGAAAAGTTACGGACTCAGTTGCAAAACTTTGTTAACAGGCCAATACTTTTGAAGTTTTCGGCTACTCAAAAGTTTGTATCTTATTCTGCTTGTAGTTTTCTCAGGCACGCGAATATAGAGCTCTACCACCTGTGAACGAGATTACGAGTAGTCTAAGTGGACAAACTGACCGTCTGTTTGCCTGAGTTGAGCGAGTGTCCAGCGTCCCACACGCTTTGGCTGGCCTTGTCCGGTGACTTTCGTCTCCATGGTGGCGTTCGGCTGCTCCTCTGAGCAGATTTACATCACTAACTATACTGATGTTCGGCCATTTCCTCTCACTTTCTCTCTTTCTCGCCTCTCCACTTTCCTCTCACTTTTTCTCTTTCTCGCCTCCCCGCTGCCTCCCACGCTTATTCACGCACTCTTTGTTGCCGCCTTTTCCCGGCTTTTCTGCCATAAACGCTGACTAATCTGATAATTAGATCAAAATGCATAAGGTGGCTAATCGTCTGGAGTGACAATTGTGGTATCGTTATTGACGCCCTTGTACAAACAGCGTTCGTCTTTGCTACACTTCAGCGCAGACCGCGCACCTCATCCTGTTTGAATTACGACCGCAAGAGATTTTTTCGCAACAATTTTTTATTCTTAATTTCTTGGTTAATTAATTAATGATTCAATTAATTTCTTCCGGCTTAGGATTGAAGGTGACGTGCTACTAGTTGTGCTGACACGGATGAATTTTGGGCTTGGAAATAATAGAACTATGCGGAGCTTGCGTTCATGTAGAGCAGCAGGGATATATTGATCAGTTGTAAAACAGAGCTCAAAAATTTGTCGACTGAGAACTACAGGTGTACGTTAACTGAACTCAATAACTTGACTGTGTTTTGAGTAATATGCAAAAAAAGTTCGAGGTGGTTTTCTCAAGACAGATTTGCAGTTGTTACGTTGATTTTTTTAGCACCTACCATATTTATTTTCATCGTTGTACTGCTGCAAGATTAGCTTTGGTGGCTGGTAACTTTTGGGAAACGTCCCGAAGGCTGAATGTTGCTGTGGTTGTAGTTTCCGCCGCGTCTCCGTAGAATGGCCTCCTCCAGAAGCTGCGGATTTCGGCCTATCACCAATAAGCTCCGGATAACCACCGTAGAGTTTGTTTCCAGCGGGAGCAGCAATAAAGGATAGGTAGTTGTCCGGAATATGATTGCGTGATGCTGGCACAAACCTAACGCTTCCTGGGCTAGTTGAACTCGGCGGACTCTGCACTCGTGGCGATGGCTGCTGCTTTTGCTGTTGGTATTCTTCTGGCTGCTGTCGCATCGGTTGCTGATTTGGTCGCAACTGATTTTGTCGTTGCGCATCTCCATCCTTAGCCGGTTGTCGTAATAGGGTATTGGGAGCTTGGCGCTGTATAGCCTGAGCTTGACGAGGACTGAGGGGATAGTTTGGTTGTTTCTGAAAGGCAGTCGGATAGTAGTAGGCAGGGAATCCAATGCCGCGCGGGCTCCCACCGGACTGCATGCTGTACTCGTCGTAGGATGTCCTCGAATAATAATAGTTAGACATGATGTGTGCGAGAGCTAATGTGGATCGAAGCTGCGATGCACAGAGAGCAGCTCGGAAAGTAACCGGCAGCGCAACTAGCTAATGCACACACAAAGGGCGTGACGCTTAGCAGGTTGCACGGATTAGTGCCGAAAGAGCCGCGCAATGTCGAGAGAAGAGCGCACGAACACGTTGGTGTTAGTGCGATTGAGAGTGAGGCTCTTCTTTAGCTGTAGAAGAGTTGTTGGTAAGGTTTAGCGAACACCCAGCGGTGATCGACAACGAATGTCGATGTGCACGGTGGCGGACAGGCCGGCCGCGTAGAAATGCAAGCAGCAGTTTGTTCCGCTGTTTGTTCTAGAGGTAAGATCGCCGTGCTACGCGACTTGCTAACATTGTAGATACCACGTAGCTGGAGGAGAGTTGGCTCCACGCGGTAGACCCGTGGCACTCATATTTCAAGAAAATCTTAATGGGAAGCTACCGGTATGGAAGTGGAACAATAGTTCTACATCGCATTTGCGCCAGAATTTCTCTTCCAAACCATTTGTTTGAAAAAACCGCCCAATCGGTATTTATTCCAAAAAATTACCCGATGAGCTACGAATTTTCGAAAAAGACGTCGCTCACCAACTTTTTTTTTTGAATCACACCAGATTTTCCGATAACATCTAGACGGCCTTAAGGAAATTCAAAGAAGATGAGATTTTTGCAGCCTCAGATCATTGTGTAATCATCAATTCTTATTCTTACCAGCCGAATCGCAAATTCTACTTCTATTTTCTGCAAACTTACCAAGTTTGCTGAAACGATGGCAGAGTTTTTTAATTTGCACTCCTCTCCTTCGGCTACCCGGTACAAAAAGTTATTAGTACTGGAGTTTCTATTTCAGATTTAAATAGAATCACTTTTATTCCTCTCTTCTCAAAGTAAAAAATTTACATGCTCCAATCACAAAAATCTGCACTTACAAAATATGCGCCTACTAATTTCAACTCAATTTTCTACAAAACGCTATGGATGACTGGCAATATTTGAAAGCCTTTGTGGAGTTTGTTTGTGTTTATGGGCTTTCAGTGATCCAATCCAGCAATCTTCAACTACAAATCTCGCATTATCCTTTGCTTTAGTAGGTATTTTTTCTCTTGTGCGCAAATCTGACATTACCAGCACTGTTAAGCCCATTGATCTGCTGGATGCCTATCGAAAAAAGAACGATATTTTAGGTTTGCCCTTTCAGTCGACATACTAACGTTGCAAGTTTTTTTCGGGGGGCCTTAGTAGCCTCAAATGTTACGACAGCGAATTAGATAAACATCTTCACAAAACAATGCCACTTGATCTTGTTGCAGTTTTTTGACATTTTTTATTATTATAAGAGCCGAAATAGAATATGACGTTATCGCTGCACGACAGTGTTCAACAAATCTTAGCAAACCGGATTGCGTCGAGAATTTCAAGATGACGACGAAATCAGTAAGGTAGCAGGTAGGTATCGTTTCTTAACGCGTGTTTTTAGGTTGGTGCAAAAATAATGGCCGTTTTGCGAATTCCCACCTATAACTTTTTGAAAGATTCACATTTCCAAATGCAGTAACGATCATCAGAAGCGGCAAACCTTCTGCGATACAGCGCACATTTAGTTATACTCGTCTCACGAACGGGCAGAATATGGATTGAAAAACAAAAAAGGTTCTTCTGCTAGAACCTTGTTTGACAATTCATAACTTCTTTCAAAGTTTGTTATTATGAATGAAAAGTAGCCTATCTTATAGCCGCAAGTCATTAGTACAAAATACAATAAAAAGAATTCTGACAAAAAAGTTTGCGAGAAAGAAAAAAAATTAAAATTTAAAGTTTCTCAGTTTTCTCAACATTTTTTCAGTGTACCTCAAAGTCCCGAATACAGAATTTTCTGATTATCTACGTACTGAGCAGCTGGGTGTTTTTGCAAAAACTGCTAATAGAATGTATTAGCCCTACGCTTACAGAAATGAGCAAAGCTTTGGCGACTGACTTCTTCAGAAGAAAATTATGGGTCATAAAATGTCCGCAACGGCTACCCATGTTAGGCGCCGATATCTCAGTCTGGACAACTTCAAAGAACACATCTGTGTGTGCATAATGTAGACAATTTCTATCACATGCAATACATTTTTGAAGAAATGCCATTGATACGCGCTCGAATTCTGGCCAGAAAAGTGAATGCAATGAAATTCTGAATTTGGATGCGGTTAATTGAAGCTCAGTATTTTTATAACAGATGGGGATGGAAGCCCAATTTCAAACACCATTAGATAGAGCATGAAGACAGCTTTTCGATGATATACTAAATCTATAGTAGAAGCATTGATGGAAAAAATCTATTGAAAGAGGCATGGGATATCGGCCATTATTTTTGCACCAACCTAATATTTATCGCAAAATGAAGTAACTGCTCGAACACTGGCACATGAACTAACATGAACTAATCAAATATGTTATACAGACAGGGATCAGAGCCGATTAATGTTGTCATCATCAATCTGGTGCAAGCGAGAACGATTAGCAAGAAGACAATAACGTTTTCGTCATCTAATTTCCATTTTTATGAATTCTAACCAGGTCCCGGCACAGGTGGCTTACTGGGCAAGCTGGATATCGTTTTGGAATAAAAACCAGGGGAAATATCTTTGAGCAACCCCCCCCTCTCCACACAGTTCTGCCCTTATGTCACCCACCTTCTACAGGAGACGAAAGTTGTCATTTCTGCCTTATCGATCTGCAAAAACCAAAAATTTCGTGTTTCAACATGTTCGCTGGTTAAGCGCGCGAATTCAAACCTGCCTCGAAATAAACAAAAGACTTGTTTACAGCAAAAATGAAATGACACTAAAATTGGTGTGTAGATGAGCAACAGGGATTTAGGACTATGTGCAAGAAATTATGAAAAATTATGTGAACTGAAAGCGTGGCAAACTTTTTTCGGAGTTAGGTGGCCTTCCAGCCACCTGGACAGCCACCTGAGGTGGCTGTAAAAAGAAAAAGTCATATATTTTCCTTCCTTCACTCCTCACATGTTTAACATAACCTTGTTCTACACCAAAAACCCTACGACTGAGTTTTTGAATCTCCCTAAACCCCCTCTTCCTCGCCTAGTTACGGAGCTCCTGAGGAGCTCGTAATTGTAGCGAGCCCGGATGTGCCTAGCAGTCACATCACTTAGGTGCGAGAATATGGCTCGGGTGAGAAACTTCCGCCCTCCTAGTTACGGCCCTCCAAATATTTTGTATGGCAGCGGCAAGTCTGCTTCAAGCGCGCAAAGGTGCGCGCCGAACACAGCATGCCGCCAATTCGGAGGAAACGAACATCTTTAGTTTTTTCTCGTCTGTTCGAAGTTGCTTTCATATTTTGTTCCATTATTTTCTCGTTATTCGTTCTGATCCATCCACGATCGCGTCATGGGTGATATCGTATTTTTCTGCCGAAGTCTACAGGGATTTCGTTTTCGGAAAATTGAAAAAGCCACCTCATGCCGAGCTCTGATTCCAACTCATTACAGGGTTAAGTCCTGGTGCAAACATTTGCATGAGAGTTGTGCTCTTTAGAGACAACTGCGTAAAAAATTGTGTTTCCGTGGAACAGGCGGGATGGTATACTATGAGAGACAAAAGCGCTGCACCCACTGCTTTGAATATAAACTTGTGATAGGCTTGCGAGCTGTTGCTTCCGTGATAAAGCATCGTCCTGCTTGACCTTTTCAAGATTATTTTATGGAAATAACCAAAATAAGCCCGTTGCCGACATATCACAGAGTAGAACTTGTCCTTTCCCTACACCGTAATTCTCAATCGTAACTGAGCACTTTCATAATTTGAGCCGTTTAAAGTGATAAATTAGAGTGATCCAGAAGTAATGGTAAGCAATTTTTACGCTTTTGTATAAAGTGACTTCGTATGCTATCCCGAAAGTACCTTGCAACACCTCATACACAATTCTTAGTGCGGCCCTTCGAAGAAACCAGACAGGCTATTCTAGACGCCACCCGAATTCGTGCTGCTGTACCTCAAGGTCCTTGGGCATGTGACATATAATGCAAAAGTGTGCTTTTCGAGCTCTAATAGTTACTCAATTTGCAGAAATTCCTCGTTGTTTCATTTGAAAGAGGCAGACTATGAAAAATTGCAATATATGTATGGCGCAGATGTTTAGGATAAAAACATGTTTTGCCTCAAAATTTTTTTAGAAGTCGAGGTAAGCCGCACATGCTTGGATAAAGCGGAAAAAGCTCTATCAGATGCCGGTGGCGGACTTTATGAACGATAGCGCGCGCTAAGGCAGACGTGTGTCAATAAAGTGCGCACCATTAACCCCGCCTACCGCAAGATGGACGAGTTCTTTGCAGTACAGCTCTAGCACTGGTTCATGGCCATGTTCCCTAGTCAAGTGAAAACAACTTCTGATAGTGAGCTATAAGCATGTTGCAAGCTGGAGTGAAGCTTGACCGAATTTTGTTTTGCTTTCTTGTTTCTTCCCAGTCATGAACAGCTAATGTGTTGGTCGTCAAAGGATTTGCTGATCTTTACCTATGAATGACCGAGTGACTCAAAATTCGCCTATAATGCTTGTTTTGAATTCTCGTCGCCATGAAATCTGCTAGCTATGATTAGGGTTTCAGAACTTACTTTTCCGATAAAAGAGATAATCGTGTTGGTCCTTTCAGCAATGATAATGATATTTCTCGATAAGCCGACTTCTTTTTGAACTAAACTTGAGAGTGCAATAAAGAATATTTAATATAGTAACAGATGTGAATAAAGAAAAAGACTTTTTCGAGCATTGAAAGAACCCCATACGTACAATAAAAATCAATTTGGACAAACATCAGATGCTGGCTGTCATAGGCAAGCTCATGCTCTCATCCCGATGAGAGAGTTAATAATATCTCTACTACCATCTTATTTTATTAGATTGTCCCGAAAGCTCTGTCGTTTCATTTTTGAAAACTTGTAACTTTTTAGCGTCTCAACGGAGTTGCGCCTTTCTAATTTTATCAGAAATAGAAGTCTTCCTCCTTGTAGGCGTGCCTCGATGAGCTTCTACTATAAATTCATTGCAGAGACAAAAATGGAAAAAGATAACCAATTGAGCTTTGACCATTCTAAGTTAGTTAGGTCGCCAAAAGTCTGGAGCGCCGCGAAAAAATCTGAAATATCAGTATAGAAGTTTTATGACATACTCTTTGCATTTGAGAAAACGTGCTGTTTGGACGTTTCAGTGAAAAGTTATGATTTTCGAGGTGACAAATTAATCATTTGGCGTTTTCCATTGTAAACTCGAAAATTATAACTTTTCAAAAAGAAGTCTAAAAAGCACAGTTTTTTCTCAAATGCAGAGAATAGAACTTATAAAACTTACATACTGCCAACTTCAGATTTTTCTGCGGCGTTCCAGACTTTTGGCGACCCAACTTGAAATGGTCAAAGCTCAAGTGGTCTTCTTTTTCCGTTCTATCTCTGCAACGAATGTATATTAGAAGCTCATCGAGAAACGACTACAAAGAGGAAGACTTCTTCTTTATAAGAAAGTCAGAAAGACGCAAATTTATTGAGACAGTAAAAGGTTACAAATTTTCAAAAATAAAACGACAGAACTTTCGGGACAATCTAATATTTCTTCTGTTGCAAAGCGTTGGGATTACCAGGCTACCAAAGATTTGATGACGGTCCCTTCACTCATTGCGGTGCAGATATTTTTGGTACCCTCACTTGTTTTACTGCAACGGTGCTGCTCAGAATAAGAGATCACTTGAAGTGACAAGATTTAATTTAGCCCCTCATAAAAATAAAGCGACGCGGCAATGCCCATAGACCTCGATCAGAAGGTTCTATATGTACTAACCAGTGGCGGTCCCAGGATTTCGGACCGTGGAGGGGGGGGGGGGCAAAATTATTTTTGAAATGAAGATGCGTGGCGTTAACCACGCACTCCGAAAAGTTTCTTCTCAAAATTTTTGCGGGTCCATGATTCCCAAAAAAACCTAGAAAAAGAGGGCGTGGGAATTTTTTTAAAATTTTGAAAAAATTATTTTAATTATTACAAGAATAAATAAGTCACTTGCACATTTTTATAACCCATGTAAGTAAACTTCAAAAATTTCGCGACCCGTTCCCCCCCCCCTCGGTCCGTTGGTACTAACATCTGCCAAAATTTGGGTAGCCAAATAAGTACTGTTTGAAAAAACTGCATTTATTTCCTAAGTACCCCACAACGTTTAGCCCACAAGCTTCTGATTTGGGCTATTTTAACACACCGAATCAGACTTACATCAGAAAAATCTAGTGTTGTCGGAAAATTCACTACACAAATTTTGCTTTAGATTTGCTTGAAGAATTTTCTGTGATGCTAGCATTAGTAGCGAAGGATCACCATAGCATAGTCCTAATCTCACGATGCGGAAGTCTAGCTACAGTCTGTCTCAATTGGGCTCAGATCGAAGTCTAGATGCGAAATGAACGCGTTCATGGCTGAGATAGTTGCATCGCATCTCGCAGCGCTGTGAAAGTTGTGGAGAATGAAGAAACAGCAGACAGGTGCCAGCATGACTACCTCTACTTAATCCACTTGATCACTTGATCCACTTCATCTACTTCGCTCTGGATCAGTTTATTTTTACCGAGGTGTATGAACTGAATCAAGCGCATAGAGTACATGTATGGCGCGTGCCCAAGGCCCGTGCATACCTCACGCGATTTTCAGTCGCGATGCAACCTGGAAATACTCCACTTACTTATAACTCGTCGCAAACTCAATTTGAGCACGTCTAAAATAGCATACTTTATCGACTTACAAAACTTAATATTAGGTTGTAAAGAAAGTTCCCGGGCAGTTGCAAAAATTTTTTTCAAATTGTTGAAGCTACAAACTTCATTGGAAAGACAATTTTGTCCACAACATATATTTGTCTTGCTGGCTTCTCAGCGCCTCACTGCGGTCCACCAGCATGCGCAGAAGGGAAAAAAATCGTTGCGAAAAGTGGCCTATTTGTGCAGGATTATCTCAGGCATGATGAGAGCTGGAGTGCCCAGATGCTGTAGTTAAAGAGAGGTCTGCTGGGGCTATTATGGGGACCGTTCAAGTCCTTAAAGGACCACCTGCAAAAAATCTTCCCCAGAAAGTTTGAAAAATTGATCAGTTTTTGCCCCTAAAAATGCACCATTTTTCGAGTAAGTGACTTTGAAATCTTGTCGTTCTGCATAGGGTGGACCAAATCTTTGATTACTGCGAACATCGTTGGGGTAATGCCTTTCACATCTTTTGGACCCATCATCCAGGCGTGACGATCCCTGCAGAAGTCTGGATTGGGCGGGACATTCTGCGAGGAGCAGCGCTGCGCATCGTTGAAGGTGCGAGCGCACAGCTCTGGCATTCTGCCAAGCAAAGACTGTGGAGAATAAGAGACGCAGACCTGGTACTCACCACGATATATACTGTAGCTGCGAAGGTGCGAGGCGGACGCCCGCCATTCCTGGAGCATAGGGCATTTGAAAAATTGTGACGATGGCGCGATCGCGCGCGACACGCACGCTACTGCCGGAAACCGCATTTTCTCGGTTCTCGTCTCTAGTCGAATGGTTTGCTTGCATATGTTAATACTTAGACACTGGAATTGACTGAGCTGCACGTTGAAGTGGTGCCTTCTTGTATGAGCGTTTTATGCTTCAGTAAGCGCAAAGTCCGCAGCCAAATCCGTCATCACGGTTTTATAAATGAACTATGCTGTCACGTAGAACACGGCGGAAATCGTACTCGCTGGCAACCGAAGACCACTCATCTAAACTCGTACCGATACTTCGTTGCCTCCCTGACAGTCCACTTAGACGTTGTGCACGGAGCATCACACAGCGCCGATGTTCATCGTTTCGTAAAGAACCCCGCTGGCTCTCTATCACACACACACGCACGCACGTCACCGCGTCAGGTGTTCATCCTAAGGAGCTCACGGAACTCACCTGTTTCTCCAGTGGGCGGCATGGTGCTGAAAAAAATTCAATTGATGTTAGATAGGTATGAGTGGTAAGACGCTCGGAGAAAACGGTGTCTCAGGCAATCCTGTAAGAGTCACAGACTTGTGCAGTTGCATAAAGGCAGCAATTCGCACAGTTATTCGAAATCTGACCGAATTCGGAAGATTCGGAAGCCGCAAAGGTCCAAATTTACTAAACTAAGGATTCTTTCTCTGGAGATTACATCGGTGGCGTTGAAAATATTAAAATTCAATGAGCTGAACCACAAATGTCATCACAGTGCAGGAAGGCAAGATAAACCCTTACTTGGCTATCAACAATGTGGTTCAAGTAAAGATCTTTTATGTTTGTTATCAGCAAAGTTATATGTGACCAAAGAAAGACTATGCGCGATAACTCAAAGCTTTCCCTTACAATATTCAAAGAACCTAATAGGCTGTAAAAAAGCGGTATGATGTTGTTGGCCAGATAGATCTTTGTGAGAAATTGAGATTGACCTCCACCGTGAGCATAAGCAATATATGATCTCAGTAGTTTTGGTCTTGTATGGTGTCAAGGAGTAAGCAAGTCTCTTTGCTGATTTTTTACCGTAACCAATAAAAATCTCATATTCGGAAAAGTGAGCTCTCGCCTAAGAACTGCGTCTTTTGTACACCGAAGACTCCTATTTTAACCAAAATACTCATATTGCACTAAAGTACAATCCACAGTCTAATAAATATATGAAAAATCTTTTTACGGAAAATTCCCTGGAACGAGTAGCTTATGAATAACGTGAATAGATATTTTTAATACTTTACAATTGCTTATGGATGTTGAACTATTAGAGAGTGAAGAAAGGAGGTAATGGATCAGATCTTCAATAAACATACATGATCAGATAGAGTGGAATTTGTGAAATGGGGGACAATAAAGTAGCGTAATCTCAGACGGAAAAGAGCCTGCCAAATTATGCCAAAACCAATCCACTATTTCTTGACCGCTCTCAAAAAACATTGAGTCAAGGCACTGCATCACTAGATGTTTGATAATGCTTTATGCTGACTGAGTTTCACTGGAGGAATACTACCTCGCCCGAATGCTAGCCGCAAAGTTGTCCGACGGCAGACTGGGCTCGCTGAACCCGGTCACCGCGAATGCTGTCAGTGTATGAAAACAAAGAGCTAGCAAAAGATCTCGCAAACTGCTGAGTTTATTTCCGCAAAATAGTGCAGCGGCGTTCATTCGACTGGGGCTCCATACAAAGCTAGACGATTGCGCTTAACATAAAAAAATCAGTCGTGTTGAACTATAGTTCCCATGTTCAATGCAAGTTTGAGAGTAGAGCCAAAAAAATTTGCCTTAGGAAAATGCATGGCGTGAAAAAATCGAAAACGTATTATTTGATTTTTCATTGATCGCATGTCCAAACAGCATGTTGCAACTGAATTCTCGCCAAAGCTGTCGATGATGGGAAGCGGTAAAATATTTGTCGAAAAGTTGTTTATGGAGTGTGTCATTACCTTGGTCAGTTGTTGTCCCAATTTCTCAATGACTAATGTGCGCACTACTTACTATAAGCTTGATAACTATGCAAGAAATCCTATTGTACGCACACTTGTGTAGATAGAGAAGGCAGCACTCATCATTAATTACAGACTAGAATCAGATTTTGAACAATATGCTCATATATTTCACGAAAATACGTAGAGAGGCGATTCGGCTTAGATGGGACAATTGTAACATTGTCTGACAATGAACGAAATAGCTCAAAGTAAAGTGTAATCACCCATACAGACATGTTGTGAGGATATAGGTTTGACCTTGTTAGAATGAGTGGCTGAGGCAACAAGCAAAAGGCGCAGTGTGCGTCGGCGATGGCGATGCCGGAGGGGTTGCAGCGGCGGTGGCGGCGGAGGCACCCGTTGCCGCCGTCCGCATTACAACTGGGACGTCCTGACTGGCACACAGCTTCTAAGAATAGCCTGCGCCCCCACATATTTTGACACTCTTAGTCATTTTTAGCGAATTCCGTAGATCGCTTCTTCTGTAAGACTTCTGCACTTCATGAGATATCAACGCATGACTCAAACGTACCCGGGAGTACACTCACCATTCCGAGCCCACATGTCTTTGATATCTAGAAGGATGCTCAATAGCTCGTCTCCTATGCATGAACAGATTGCCAATGACGAGTCCGGTTACAAGTTTGAACAGTTGCACATCTTTAGCAACGCAGTATATGCTAAGTCACGGCGGCTTGACTTACCATGTAGAGTTGAGACAACACGCTTGATAGCTTGTTTTTCACAAAAAGCAGTGCGATTAGTACATGTATCTCGATGAGTACTAGATGCTAGCTCAGAGTCCGTTAGAGAGTCCATCAGAAGTGGCGCTCAATGTGCAGCCTCTCACAATCCAGATCAGGTCAAAAGCAGCATGTTTTGATTTCTACCTGATTCCATTCCGACAGACTGTAGTGACTTGCAGTGCAACTTGCGCATCGCGGGACAAAACAGACACAGCTGCGTGCTCTGTTTCAAGCTAACGTGGGTTGTCGGGTATTGTAGGCACCGTACGGACAATACTATAATTTACCAGAGTGCGAGTGCGGGTCTAGAGAGTAAAGGAAAATTATCAGATAAAATATGTATCGAAGCAGATGAAAGCTGTGAATGGTTCAATGTCTCCGCTCTCCTTCTAATGTTTTCATCTTATATGTACATATATTAGGTCATTCCGAAAGTCATTTCGCTTTTTGAAGAGGAGCCACACTTGATGAAAAAAGATTTCTGAAAGTAGCAGCATAGTCAATAAGCTTCTGAAAAATTACCAATATCTGCGACACACGCTTGTTGAAATGCTCAAGTTCCACAATTTTTTTTAGAATTTTAATCTTCCAAAAGATCCCAAGTGACGATTCGATATAGCAAACCTCAGAGGATACGGTACAACCTTTTTCTCTTTTCATAGCACGCCATGATTTTTCAAAAAGTTTTTTTTTTCAGAACCATGGGATTTTGGTAAGCCTGCGTCAGCCACAATCGCATCAAACATCAATGAGTCCTCGGGATTTGAACTTCCGAAATGGTATTGTGACACACTATTTTTACAAAACAAATGAGATTTTATGGAATAGAAATATCTATTTTTGAATTTTTCAAGAACAGCCCGCGTTCGAAATTACGATTTACGATGATTTTGTCCGCGGAGATTCTACGAATCTCATACAAAAAACACCCCCAGAAAGAGAAGAAAAAGCTGCATCGAGTAACGCCGAGCTGCTTAAAGTATGAAGTTCTAGGAGGTTAGAGTTTATTAAGTATGGAAATTGATAGGATCAATGAAAATTCTATTAAAAATATGACGAGCTATGGAAAGGAATGATAAATTATCTTGCATCCTAAAGGGCTTGCTTTAACCACACGTTACTTGCGAGAGTTGATATAAAAATTTAGAAAAATTGTGAATCTTGAGCATCTCAAAAAGCGTGCATCGCAGATTTTGGTAAATTTTTCCGAAGCCTCATTGACTATGCTTGACTATTACTTTAAACCATTAGAAAGAGTATGGAATGCTGCATTGAATGTAACCAAGATCTCTTAGAAATCTTTGTCCCGTCTAATGTGGTGCCCCTTTGAAAAAAGCGAAATCACTTTTGGAATCACCTAATATAGAGCTGAATGTCTGTTTGTCTGTATGTTTGTATATGTGTGTTCCGAATAGAACTTTTTATTTCTAAACCTATCCGGAGCAAACTTTACATACATGCACATCGGGGCGGGTGTGTCGTAGGCTACTTTTCGTCATCCATTGATATCGAATTTATCGATTCTTATCGATTTCTTTGTCAAGTTTGACCTGCGGTGCTGGGATTTGGCACAGGGTAATATCGAGCATTCTGATACGAATACAATATTAGTTTTAGGAATTATCCGTTACTTTTATCGATTTCATCGATTTTTTACATAGTTTGAGCTACTGGACTGGGATTTGGCACAGGAGAGTAAGTAATCATGCCAATTACGAATTTAAACACTGTTTGTAAGAATACGCAATACTTTCATGATTTTCTTCTCAAAACTTGGACTAGAAGGGTTTGAGTTGGACTTACAATTAGTTTTGCTGATTCAAATGAAGTAACTTTTATTTCTCATCCTCAGTCCGCCATCAAAATATTGCTTCTGTCAGCAGGTGGCTGAAATTCCGTAATTCGGAGTGAGCGAGTGCGCTGATTACAAAACAAAAGCCTCCCTAAAATAATTCGAATGCAAATGCCCCGCTCAAACGTAGTGGTGAAAAAGAAAAATACACCAATCATATCTATACATCTATATATCTATCTCATATCAAATCACACGAATTCCAATTTCTGGGAGGGGTTCTGAACTGTTTTGAAAACAATGTTTTTCTTCAAAGCACTCTTTCAGATTCCAGGTTCTGAAAGAAGTAGATTGTTGAAATTCTGCAAGCACACCTGAATGTGGGTAATCATGCCATAAGTATTTTCAAGAAAAAAGTTCACAAGGGAAGCGTGTTTAGTCGAAGTGGCTTTTTCAGATGAGACCCATACTGCTTCGAAGACTTCTACTGCACGTTGATTCCAAATCTGCCTTCCGAATCTGCCAAGCGCCTCTGGACCCGCGTTATGGCCGTTTATCGGAACCAAAAATGAATGCAGAATTTGGGTAAAACTGATTGTTACAATCTTTTCAGCGCTCAGATAAACCAATGTTAAGTATTTTAGACAAACCATTGCATAAACTGCTCTGATACTTGACACCGGACCATTTGAGCAAATTTGGGCGATTTTGCTTCAGATTGCATTCAATTTTTTGACCAGAAAAACGACCATAATTCGGCGTTCAGAGGCGCTTGGGATTTGGAAAGTAGATTTGGAATCACCGCTTAATGCTGTTCAAAGCAGCATGGGTCTCATCCTTGTCAGTTCTAGGGTTTTCTGAATTTGTTGGGATGAACATGATGGCGGCATGAAAGGTGAATGGCAAAAAAGTTAAGTAGCATCGGTGGATTAGTCGATAAAAGCTAGCATATACGTGTTTTTGACACGAGGCCCCAGCTCAGATAATCGGCGAGGGCAGGCGGCCATGC